GGCACGCAGGCGTCTACTGGGTCCCTCTATTCCCTACATATATATATATATACTTTTGCACATTCCGGTCCAGAGGACTTCAACGCCTCTTTTGCTTTTTTTTTTGCTTCTTAAATGCGTGCATGCTGACATGTGGGCACATCAGCTTGGCTGCGCCGGAAGAGACAAAGCGATGCCGAGAAAAACAATCGCCCCACCAAGCGCCGCAGGGACAGTTCGTGGCTCAACGGCACGCACTGGGGAGCGGCTGCCCCCCCCCCCCTTCCACACACGCACACGCACACCTCGAGACGGCGTGGCCTCGCACAACTCCCCCTACCCAGTAGTTCCCGCAACTTACGACGCACCCAGCGCGAGCGGGCGTCCCTCCCTATTTGTTTCTCTTATTTTTTTTCTTTTGTTTTTGTTCTTTACTTAGGCTTTCGCCTGGGCTCCTACATGTCTTCCCCGAACAGCTCTTCCTCCTCCTCCTCCGCATCGCAGGGCAAGCACCCAGGGGCGGAGGTCTTCCGACAGCACGTGCAGGCAGCCCCGTCGCAGCGGACCTCGCCCGAGTTGCTGAAGCACGTCGCGGAGTCCGAGAAGGGGACGCGGCAGAGGTACGCGTAGCCCTTTTCGCGGCAGTACGCGCAGTCGAGCTCGGCGTCGGCGTGGGCGGCCGGCGCCGCAGCCGCCAGCGCGAGCAGCAGCGCGACGGCGAGCAGCAGAAACTGACCGGGCCGCATCGCCAACGCCGTCGGGGGGGACAGAGATGAAATCTCAAACGGAAGGAATAAACGCAAAAAAAAAAGTAGAAAAAAACGCAAGCGAAAAAAAAGAAAAAAAAGGAACTAATAAAAAAAAAAGAAATGTCTCGGAAAACAAAAAACAAAAAAAGAACAAAAGAAAAAGCAAACAAAATCTGAGTGTTACTAGTTTATATCCTTCGGTGTGTTGTACGCACGCTGCCTTCCCTTCGGTGGCGGAGAAAAATGGGCGAAGAGACGTGGGGAACATCGACGGCGAGAGGAGGGGGCGCAGCGCCCAAAGCACGCAGGAAAGGGAGAAAGCGGGGGAACAGGGAGGGGTGAGAAGGGGGGAGGCGAGAAAAACTCAATTGCGTCCACGCGCGGGGCGCGTGCACGGCGACGAAGACGACGACGGTACATTTGTCACGGCGGGCCCCTCCCCACGGCCCAAACTCACTCCCTGTAATCAGCCACATTCGCCACATCGTCAACGATGGGCACTTGGTACGCCGCGAGGATGGTGGCGTCGGCAAGGCCGCCAGGGGCGGCGACGAGCCGCTCCAGCGCGCGCCGCGAGCTCTCGTTGAAGCGCCGCACAAATTCGGGAACCGAGACGTCGCCGCCGTATGGCACGTGTTGCTCCAGCGAATCTGCCACCACATCGGCATACAAAAGGTCCGCGAAGGCCTCCTCGTCGTAGTTAAAGACGTGGCAACGAATCAGATCCAGCTGTTCGTCACTCAACGCCTCGGCAAGGGCCGTATTGTAGCGGCAAAGAGACTGCGGTGTCAGAAATGGTGTTCCGTCCAGAAAGGAATACAGTGCAAAGTGAAACCGCCGCGGGTCGGCGCGCGACGAGGGTCGGCTGCCGGCAGCCTTTTCCGTCATCAGCGCACTGCTGGCCCGCAGAACCGAACACAGCAGCGACGCGCTCTTCTCCTCCTCCTCGCCCTTCCGTCTTGCCTGTCGCACCTCCTTGCGCATCTTCTTCAGCCACTCCCGTGTCTCCGCCGCGCGACGTGCGATGCTGCTGCTGTTGCTGCTGCCCGCAAACAGCTCGCGGCCGACTGAGGAGACCCCGTTCGGCACGACGCGAAACGACGTCGGCGTGTCATTACGGATGTACGCTACCTTTCCCGCCGCGGCTGGACGTGCGGGGTGCGGGGCAGACACGTGCGTCATTTGCTTGGGACGCAACAAAAATCAGCGGCACGCACGCACGCACACACACACACGGGACCGCAGGTGAAACGCGCCCCTCGCTTCGCCTCTCGTTGCTACTCTGCTCTCCGGCCACGCAGGCGGCAAGGAGAAGCAGCAGACGATGCACCTGTCAAGACACAAGCGGGCCAGCCACAGGGAGAGAGAGAGAGGAAGAGAGAAACTGCAACGGCCGCACTCGTGGTACCGCGTCAACAAACCCGTGTGCACGTGTCTGCAGGCATAGCCGGCTTAGGTGCGTCCCGCTGTCCTGCTTTGTCGACCCACGCCCGTGGCAAACCAACGCTACCCCCTCCTTTCCCACACAGTCATCTGAAACCCCCCCCCCCCGCGCGCGCGCTCCCCCTCTCTCTCACACTCACTCACACACGCGCCAGAGGGAAACAACGAAAGGACAACCACAACAAGTATAAAAAAAATAAAAACAAAAAATAGCATAGCCTAACACTTACACGAGCCGCCCCAGCGCAAGAGAGGCAGAGAGTAGCCGCATGGGACCATCTGGCCAGGCCTGGAGGGCGCACTTCAATGATTTCTCTGTCATCCACTCCGCCTCCCGCAGGAGGTCCGTTAGTGAGCCGCGGATGAGGCTCACGTCCTCCGCGCCGCGGCCCGCGCCGCCGACGTCATCGCCAAGGTGTGAAATGGCCTCCACGACCCGCGCCATCAGGTGCAAAAGCACGCGTCGATCCGAGGGCGTCAGCGGCGCCCTCCCGGTGGCTTCGTGGGGGAGAGCCGAGGGACGCACGCCAATCCAACGAGCAGGGAGCAAGGCGGATAAAAAGTTCTTCTCTGGGGCAGGTGGTGCTTGTTGGCGTGGCGGCAGTGGCCGCCGCCGCCGTCGTGCAGCAGCATCCTCGCCAAAGAGCCCCATGAAGGTCAGGGCGATGCGCATCCCATGCGGGTCGCCGTCGACGAGAACAAAAATGGGCAGCTTCGGCAGCTCACGGTGAAGCCTGCGTAGCAGTGCGCGGGAGGCCCGGCAGGGGTATCCCTTGCTGCAGAGAAAAACGCAGCGGCTGAGGGGCGCGCCGAGGCCCAGCGCACCGTTAGCCTCCACAAGCGTTCGCAGGGTGCTCTCCTTCTCCAGAAGGATCACGGCAGCCGGCGAGCTCCCGGGTCCCCCGGCACCACGAAAGTGACAGCCCCGCATCCCTACGGCCATGTCGAGAAGGATTCCAGAAGCATGGCGCATACCATTCACCTCCACCGTCCCCATTGAAGGCGTGGCAGGCTGCTTGGAATCCCCCTGCGCTTGCGGGACAGTCCGCTCCGCCAGATGCATCGCGTGGGCCGCAGAGGCCGGAAATGCCGCGGCGGTGGGGACGTCAAAGGAGATGTATCCCATGAGAAGACTCTTCCCGCTCGCGTAAATGTGAAGCCCTTCACGTGTGTAGCCTCGCTGCCCCGCACCCACAGGGTAGTCGGCACCAGTCGCCGCAGGATGCGCGGGCAACGGACGCGCAGAATCCATCCAACGACAGAGGTGCTCAATGCTGGTATGCACGTCTCTCTGCCCATTCGGGAATAGCAGCGTGTTGCGGTAGTACACGTCCCGCTCTGTGCACGTCAGTCCCTGATACACCATATCCACCACGCATGCGAGAACATACAGGGCCTGGGCGCTGCGCCGCAACACGCTCAGGTGCCCCTCTGCCGATGCACGTTGTGCTTCGTGCGGTTGCGGCAGCTGCTGCTTGCGTTCCCCAGAAGTGGGACGGCGGCGGTGAGGAGTTTGTGATGAGGCCGCTGCGGCGGGCGCGGCAGGTGGGTAGAGGAGGCCCACGAGGTACGCGTCCACCACGGCCTCCGCCGCCCCAATGACTTCCGCGTCGCCGAGCATATTTTTTTGTTACTGCGGCCACCGCACCAGCGAGCACGAGGCGCCTTTGTGATGTGCGCCACCTGAGGCGGCGAGGCAGAAGACATCAACGGGGAAGGGAGAGAGAGAGAGAGGGAGGGAGGGAGGTAAAGCCACAGTAGCAGGGGCCCTGCGCCGCTGCCCGCCTTCGAACCCCAAAGACACGCAACTGCCGTTATTAACATTTTTTTATGTGGCGCCTCGCGCCTGCGGGTCTTGCCTTCACTCCTCCAGCGGCTTCATTGCCTACATCTCGCGCCGTATATACATGACATCTGGCGGCCCAGAGGGAGGTGGAGGAGGTGTGGGTGAGTGCGAGGCGACAGCGGCCCACCCACGCACGCAAGGACCTCATTGTTAATTTACATGCGAGCGATGCCGAGTGAAACTATTGATGTTTTCCTTCTCTTTTTTTTTTTGGTCGCCCCTCGTTTTCTTCCGTCCCCCTACCCCCACCCCCAGCTGCGATCCACCGCGGCTCGGCTCGTCCCAGCGCGGGCAGGACCCGCAGACGTCAACCCCGACAAGAATGGGAAAACGCGGGGGGACACCAACGCAACCGCCGCAACACACACACACACACACAGAGAGAGAGAAAGAGAAAGAACAAAACAAAAACAACACTCATAAACTATTATATATATATATATATATGTGCACCCCTTGGAGTTGTGGCGGGTGGTTTCTTTTTTTTTTGTTTGTTTGCACGCACCGCCGCACACTTCTCGCCGTCGCTACTACATCTGCTGCAGCACCGCCATTGCCATGCGGAACTCCTCGTACGTTGCGCGTCCGTCCCCGCGCCAGGTCATTCCCTCAAACAGTTTCTTAACCTTGCACTTGGCAAGCGGAAGCCCAAAGAAGTCCAGGGCCTCAATATCCCGCCGGAAGGCTTCGCCGTTTATCGTCCCCCGCAGTGTCCCCTGCAAACCTGTGGCCGTGCGCACCAGCTCGTCATCCACGCTGGCCGCCTCCGCCTCCGCCACATCCCCCACCTCCCAGTCCGCACTTCCGCCGTAATATTCCCAGAGACGCACCACATCGTCCTCATCCGCGTTCAGCAGTGCCTCCTGCAGCCAGCCAGCCGGTTTTGTGCCAGTTGGACAGTAGGGCGACGGCGCACTCAAGCGGTGGGCACCCTTTTTAGCAGCTCCTCTGAAATGCCTCTCGGCTGGCCTCTCATGTGACTCCGTCTGCCCCTCCGGCGCCAACACCTCCTCACACGGAGGAGGAATGGGAATGAAGAAGCCGTCTTGCTCGTCCATGAGGTCGACAAACTCTCTGGTGTCCATTTCATGCGTGAAGCCAAACATACGCTTCGTCACAGGACGCGTGTCCAGTGTGCGGCTTGTGTACTGCACCAGCGGATTATCCTTCCACTCGAAGAGTTGACTGGGATCATGATCCAAGTAGCAGAGGGCTCGCACAAGAGGGTCGGGAAGCAAGTCTCCAGTGCTGCACCAAAGCTCGCGCTCCATGAAGGCCTGCAGTGGGCCGCCACTCGCAAGCAGAATATTGTCAACGCGGTTGGGCCTTGCGGGGAGGCCAAGTGATTCCCAGTCCCTGTAGAGCTGGCCACGCAGGGACGCTTCCAAGGCGTTAGCCGGATCGGGGTCGCCAATCACCTCACGCAGAAACTTCTGCCAGCTGCAATTTCTCTGGTCCCAGCTCACCACATAGCCGTGGAGGTCGGGCACATTCCGCCCCATGTGAGTCATGCGCTCCCGCTCTAGCGGGACAAGCGCATTGACGACGTAGACGCCCTCTGCGTGGAACTTCACCACCTCCATGTCGAAGGCAAGCTGCACGTGCTCTGGCTCCGGCACGGACCACTTCACATAGAGCTGGGACGGGGTCATGGAAAGGGCGCTGAGGGCGGTGAAGGCCCCAATCACCCGCTGCGAGGCAAGTACGTGGTCCCAGCTTTCGCCAAAGACCTCGTGGAAGCGCGCGCGACCCGCCTCCGTCACCTCCGGGAGGACGCTGTGGTACTGATGCATCGCGTAGTACATGGAGGAAGACAGGTGCCTGTCCACGAGGCGGGGGCAGCTTTGCTTGTGGAGCTCCTGTCGGACGCGGATGCGGTTTTCGGCGAGGAAGCGCTCCACGAACGCCATGACGCGAAGCTTGTTGGAGGCGTGCGGCTTCAGAAGAATCACGGCTGTGTTGCGGAACAGCAGCGCAGGACCCTCCCCCTCCTCCCCCTCCTTCTCCTTCCCGTCCGGCACTTGTCCAGAGGCCGAATTCCGCCTCCCGGCGCCGCCCACGTCGTCCTCCGGACCGCCGTCTTGCGGCGGTGCACGTGCGTCCTCCGCGTGGGGCACGCCCTCCACGAGCGGGATGTGCGCCGCGTCCACCGCCGCCCCGTCACCCTCCGCGTCGCGCAGCTCCTGCGTCAGCGCCGCCAGCAGCGCCATCAGGCGGGAGGTGTCGCAGTGCAGCAGATGCTCAAAGACGCCAGCCGCAAGCCCCGCGGAGGTCACCTCCGGGTTGTCGAGCCACACCCGCAGAACCCGCTCCGGCACTCCCTGGCGCAGCAGGAGGTCGCCGAGGTAGTCCTCGGCCAGCGCGCAGTTGAGCGACTTGACGCGGTCCCGCATCGCCTGCAGCGCACCCTGGCTGGCGTGCAGACCGTTGTGCAGCAGGTCCGGCTCCATGGAAAGGCCGAACTCGCCCCAGCGCCGAAAGAGCTGCCCACGAATGCTCTGCGGCGCCGCCGCGCTCGGGCAGTCGTCGCCGATGACGCGCGTGAGAAACGTGGACCAGCACATGTCCTCCTCCGACCACGACACAGCGTACCAGTGAAGCAGGGAAGTGGCGGACTCGAAGGCATTCTTCAGCTCCGGGAAGAAGCCGTTCACAACGAAGATGCCGTCGCCTGCAAGCCCCGCAACGACCAAGTCCGAGCGAATCACCACCTTCCGAGCGGAGCGTCTCCAGCACGCGTACAGATGCTGCGGCGTCACCCCGCCGAGCACCTCCAACGCCCGGTACGCGTTCACGAGGAGGCCCTCGCCCACGAGCCGCTCCCAGGCGATGCCGAGCTCGCGGAGCGCCCTCTCGCGCTCCTCCTGGGTCAGGTGGATGGCTGACACCTCCCCCGTCGCGTACTTGGAGGCGGTGGCGTACAGGTGGTGCACGAGGCCCCGTCCCCGCACCACGGCGCCGCTGATGTCGCCCTCCTCATCGACGCGCACCTTTGCGTTTGACAGCGCCATCTCGATCGCCATGGCGAAGGGACGGCACAAGGCGTGACTCTTGACGAGCAAAAAGGCAGAGTTGCGTGGCGGCTCGGCGCGACACCGGGCATCTTCAGCCTTGAGCAGTTCAAGTGCCTCCGCGGAGCCCTGTCCCCGCACGGCATCAAACAAGAACCGTCCGTCGCCTCGCGTTGAGCGCGGGTTTGCCACAGCCCGGCGCAACACATACAGTGAGACGCCCAACTGCTTCACCGCAGCCCGACCCACCGGGTCGCGCAGCAAACCCAGCGCGAGCCACAGCTGTCGCTGATGTATGGCCTCCAGGGCACTCGTGGAGGTTGCTACGGCCCCCTCAAAAGGGTCAGGTGGGCACCGAAAGCCGGCGCTTTTCCACTCCTCGCAAAGCGTCCGCTGCAGGCTGCCAGGCTCCGCCGCCTCCACGTAGGGGTCGCCAATAATCTCTCGCGCGTAGGCGGCGTAGTCGGCGTCGGCGGCGTCCCACGAGAGCAGGAAATACCGCTTCACGGAGGTCGCCATGTTAAAGACCTCGCTGCTGTGCAGGGCGAATCCGTTGACGAGGTACAAGTCATAGTCTTGCATCTTCCCAATGTAGAGAGAGGGAGCGATTCGCGTTCGCGGCTCACAGGCATCCCAACACTCCTTCAGACGCAGCGCGGACAGATTAAACTCCACAGCCACATCCACGGCATTTCGAACCCTGCTAGCATCCCACCTCTCGCCAAAGGCTCGCTGAAAGGCATGCATTGCGTCCCCGTCAAGGGCATACTGAGAAGGCGCCTGCTTCACGGCGTAGCGGAAAATGCTGCCTTGAAGTTCGTCCGCCACGTGCCGCACGGCTGGCGCAATGGTCCTTACGCTTCCTCCCGCCTCAACCCGTATCTTGCGCCGCTGCAGAAAGTCCGTGATGTAGGCGGTCGCGAGCTCCTCGGACTCAGCAGACAAACACTTGGGATTTACCAGGAGAAAGGCGTAGTTACGCCCGCGCGTCACGGCGGCGGAAGCCGCGGCAGCCGTGGAAGGCGGCGAAGAAGACGTGGCACCAGCCAACTCATGGGATTGCCGGTCCATCACGGCAACCTGCCCACCGCGGTTCTCCCCCCCGCCGGCCACTTGGCCCGGCAACCCGGCGGCGGAGGGCGGCGGTCTGGGGAACGCCGTGATGGAGCCGGAGCGCTTGGGGACGAGTTGCATGCCGCCAGACGACTGGAGGCCAACCAGCTGCGCCACCAGCAGGGGATTCTCCGTGCAGAGCTTATCAAACGCGTCGCTCACCGCATCCACCGGCTCGTCGCGGTGTCGCACCAACGGGTTTTGCAGCAGCGCACGCAAGAAGTCGGGGCTCACCCCTCCCTGAATGAGGAGTCGGCCAAAGACGTCCTCCTCCACGCTCGTTCCGAGCCATGCGACGCGGTCCGCGAGTCCCGCGATGGGCGAGGCAGAGGCGTGAAACCCGTTGTCGACGCCGTCAGGCGGCTGCTCCAGCCCCAGCTGCATCCACGAGGCCCACAGCGTGTTGCGCAGCGAGGCCGCCTCCGCCGTAGCCGGGACGTCGCCGCCGATGGCGTACTTCTGGAAGTCGTCCCACGTCATGATCTCCCCATCCCACATCAACACGTACCAGTAGATGCGCGGACCGGTGTACATGCGGGCGCGGAGGTAGGGGTAGAACCCGTTCACCACGTAGAGGCCTTCCTCCTCAAGGTAGGCCAGATACAAGTCTGCGGAGAGGCAGACCTTGCGCGGGGCCTCGTCCCAGGCCTTCAACAAGGCCACGACCCCCATTCTTGCCTCCGCCTCCGCGGCGTTGATGATCAAGTGCAGGCTCACAGCTGTACCCCAGGTGATGCCAAAGGTGCGCTCAAACTCCACCATTTGCTTCGTCGTAATGGGCAAATCCTTGACGCAGCGTCCCATGGCGTTGCGATAGAGGGCGCCATACTGCTGATCCACGAGGTGCCTTTCAGTCACCTCCTCCATCGTCAAGCTTCCAGAGGCAATCACCTCAATACGATGCTCTTCTAAGGCGGAGGGAACCCATTCCACCACCTCCGTAGTGCCTGCATGCGGCTTCACCCAAAGGAAGGCGTAGTTCATTTTTATGGCTCGCATAAAACGCGAGGTGAGCGCCTTAAGCCGGCGAATGACCTCGCTGCTCTGTTGGTGCCGCGACAAGGAACTCCGCGTATAACAAAGCAGCTCACCGCCAATTTGGCCCGATTGTGTTTGCTCTTGCTGCTGCTGCTGCTGCTGCTGCTGCTCTTCCCCGTCGTCGTCGTCCTGGTCCTGCTGCTGCTGCTGCTGCTGGGGCGTTTGTGGGGCGGGGTTGCCGTGGTGCTCGTTCCGGACGTACGGAAGCAGCAGTGAGAGCGGCACGCCGTCGAGCAGCAACTGCTGCACAAACGGGTCCTCCGGTAGCTCCGCCTCCAGCCACGTCTCGCGGTCGGCGGCGGCCTCCAGCGGGCCCTCCGACGCGTAGAGCGCACTCGTCGCCCTCGACACCGGCTGCAGCGTGAGCCCGAGGTACGTCCACTCCTCCGCGAAGCTGCGCTGCAGGCTGCCGTGCGCGGCGGTCATTGGGCTGGCGGGGTCGCCAATCAACACCTCGCAAAAGTCCCTCCACGCCCATGCGCTTTCCTTCCACTCCACCTCAAATACATACACGCGGCTGCCCGGTCTTCCGTAGCTCACTCGGGCAAAGGGCACAAATCCATTGATGACAAAGAGGCCATGCGATTGCAAGAGTGCCACGTAGCACGCCCGCCCAATTTTCTTTGGGCTCGAGGCATCCCACAGCCGCAGGAGCTCCCTTGGCGAGAGAGCCAGCTGCTCGCATGCGGCGGTGGCGCCCAGCAGTCTTCCATCGGTCACGCAGTCGTCCCAGCTCGCGTGAAAAACCTCACTGAAGCGGTCCTTGAGGGCGGGGCTGACCTCATCTTTAGCGGTGGAGGCGGCGACGTCGGCGAGCTGCGCGGCGGCGCGGAACGCGGCGCCGTTAAGGTAGCGCTCCACCGTCTGCGTACTGAAGATGGACGCCTCCCGCTTCACCAGCACGTCAGCCTTCTTGAGCGTCTGCCGCACCCGCTCGATGGCGCGCTCGTGCACGGCAAAGGGCTTAAGCATCACCACCGCGCGGTTCATGGGGGTTTCCGTGTACGCCGCCATTGCCTGCTGCTCCGCCTCTCGCATGATGTCCACCATCTCGGAGGTCTGCATGTTCTCGAGCAGGTCAAAGATGCACCCCGCCAGCTTCTTGCCACGCAGGACCACCTCCGGGTTAGAGCCCCACCGGTGGAGAAGAGCCCCTGTGAGGCCGCACTCCTGCAGCCGCAGCGTGAGGGGGTCGTGGGAGAGTGGCGTGCGCATCCACAGATGACGCTCCAGTACCGCCTCTAGCGGCCCCGCAGAGGCGTGAACCCCGTTGTCCGTCGTCGTCGGCGGGTGCCGCAGGCCCAACTCCTGCCAACGGTCGCGTATCAGCCCACGCAGGCTGTCGGGGGGCGCGTTGCCAGGGTTTGTGCTTCCAACCAGCTCCTCACGAAAGGCCCGCCACGTCATGCACGACTCCGGCCAGGAGACGACGTAGCAAGTCACCTTCGCGTCCTCCGCGCCGTACGTGTCGCGCAGGTAGGGGTAAAACCCGTTGACGACGAACACATTCTCGGGGGCAAAGTGTGCCACGTACGCCCCTGGGGCCAGCTTCAGCGTCTTTGCGGCGGACCCCCACATCGCGTAAAGCTCATCGGCGGCGATCTCGCCGAGGGTGTGCATGGCCGTCTCCGCATTCCAGACGCGTCCCGAACGCAGTGCGTCCCTCCACGCGACACCAAACGTGTCCTGAAACAGCGCCCGGCTCTGCGTCCCGACGTTGATGGACGTCGGCGGCACCTTTACGGCGTAGCGGGCGATGGTTTGGTAGTGTTTGTACATCATCTGCTGCGCGGCAATCTCGTCACCGAAGACGTGGCGCTGGCCAACGAGTTGCATTCCCTGCACGCGCATGACACGCTCCTCGACAAGCGCCCGGGTTTCCGGCGTGTTGGCGTGCGGCTTCACAAACAGGAGAGCCCGGTTGCGCCGCTCCGCGGCGTCCTCGTCGTCGAGGACAATGGTCCAGTCCGCGGTACCCGACAGGGCGTCGCTCGCGCCCAACCGCGCGGTCGCCCGGTTCTCGCGCTTCAGCTTCTCTGCGGCGAAGAGCACCGACACGTGGTGCAGTACCTCGCTGCTCTGCATGTTCTCGAAGAGCTCAAAGACCGGGCGGCTCTCCCCGCCGTACGTCATGGTGGGATTAGTCACCAGCTGCTCCAGAAACTCCAGTGTGACGCCCTCCTGCAGGAGCGCACGCCCAAATTCGTCCTCCGTGGCGCGCCGATGCATCCACACGAAGCGGTGGGCCAGTGCCTCGAGCGGTCCGCTGGCGGCGTCCAGGCCGTTGTCCGCCAGGCTCGGCTGCTCGCCCAGCCCGTACTCCTGCCAGTGATCGTACAGCAGACGACGAAGCGACGTCGGCTCCGCCGTGCTGGGGTCTGCCGCGCCAAGCACCTCCAGGCGAAAACTCTTCCACGTGTACCTTGACTCCGGCCAGGAGAGCACAAAGACGCAGGTTTGGCTGTCGGGGGCGGTGAAGGCCTCCAGCAGTCTTGGGTAGAAGCCGTTGACGACGTACAGCCGCTCCTGCTCAAAGTAGGCGACGTAGAAGCCGTACTCGAGCCGGGCGCACGACTTGCAGGCCCACCACTGCGCGTCCAGCCCCTGGGGGGAGAGGCCAAGCACCGTCATGGCATCCTCCGGCGTCACCACCCGCCGCTCCTCCATTGCGGCGTCCCAGAGCTCGCCGAAGGCCGAAAAGAAGAGGGACGCGGTTTCCTCCGATACGAAGGCGTTCAGGTCCTCCGAGCGACAGGCGGCCAGGGCAGCCACCGCGCTGTAGTGGCGCTCCACGTAGGCCCCACGCTCCACCTGCGGACCGGACAGCACCAGCATCTCATCCACGCGAACCCCGTAGGACTCAAACTGCCCACGTGCCACCTCGAGAAATCGTTCTCGGCACGCCTGGGGCTTAATCAGCACCAGCGTCGTATTCGTCATCCCTGCCATTGCCTCCGTGGCCTCGCGGCCACGACAAGCACTCGCTCTCGCCTTATCTTGCTTCCCTGACGCCGCGCAGCGACGGTGTTGCGGTTGTGGTTGTTTTACGCATGCGCACATGCAGAACAACAACGACAACAGGAGAAAAAAAAAAAAACGAAAGAAAGCCGAGGCGTCATAAGGGGGGCAGGGATATAAAAGAAAACTCCGTTGGCGTTTCCACCGGCGTCCCCATGGACGCTCTCTCTCCCTCGCCCTTCCTCGCTTTCTTTCGTGGTTTGTTTCCCAGTCGGTGCCCTTCGCACGCCCACACGCGTACACACACTCTGGTCTCTAAGCTCTGTTATCAGGCCCCCGCGTCCGCGGGGCAGTCACCCAACTGTCTCTCGCTGGGTGGGGGGTGGGGAGGGGCACATCTAAGCCCGTCCACGGGGGAGGGAAAACGTTTTCAAAAAGAGCGACTCACACAGTTCGGTCACTGCCGCCGCCAACACCGTCACAGGCAGCGCGGCCAGCAGTCAGCCGTGGGAGAACGACGTAAAGAGAAGCATCCCCCCTCGCCATGTCTATTGTGTATATATTATACGGCTCGCTCTCTCTCTCTCTGAGCGTGTGCCTAAGGCCCGCCGGCTAGGTTTGACACTCCAGCGCCACCTCGTACTCCTGCTGAAGTGCGGCCATGTCGGATGGGATGACCGTCATGCTGTTCTTCAGCTGGATCAGGTAATTCGCCACCTGTGTGGGCTCCGTCGTCAGCATCATGAGACGCTGGACCTCGGTGAGCTGCTCCGGCTGCAGCTGCTCCGCAAGCTCGTCTTCGAGCAGCATCTGCGTCACCATGGCGACGTCCTGGCCATGGTACAGGCGCTCGCCTCTCCGGCCGCCGCTTGCGTCGTCCACCATGGGAATTGTGCGGCCGGCGTTGCGGTCAACAAACATGCTGAAGTCCACGAGCCTCTCCCAGTGAACAGGCACCAAGAGAGTCGCTGGCAACTCCGTCGCGGTGCTCCCGCGCCGAATGGCTAAAAAGACGCGATTGAGCCCTCGCAAGTCAGCGTGGACTGTGCGCGTTACCACGAGATCCGAAAGCATGCGGAGGAGAAGCTTGACGCAGGTGGGGAAGGAGCGGACGGACAAGGGGACCGTGGAGAGCGGCACCGCAGTGTAGCCCTGCGGCATGGTGATCACCGTCAAGCCGCCATCGCTGTAGCGATAGCCCGCCACGGTCACAGAGGGTGCGACGAGAGACAAACCAAGCGCTGCACGGTGAGCCTCATTCTCGCCCTGCCGTACCGCGTGCACGCTCCAGCTGTACACCAGGACCTGTGCAGCTTCGTCGGGCGTCTCCCCCGCACGTGCCTCATAGACATCGGAGGAGGCATGGTAACGGTACACGCGGTAGCGGCACTCGCCCAGCAGCACCGTCGTGCCAATACGCAGCTGCGGCGCCACGCCCGCAATTTGCCTGAACTCCCCAGCAGCGCAAAAGGATTCCAAGTTGGCGGCAACGAGGGGAGCCACGAGGGCGGCCGAAATCGTCTCACTCTGCACGCCGTACACCTGGCGCGGGATTGGGTTGGGGTGCTTGAGGGTGCGGCGCACGCCCACCGTCGCCCGGCCGGCGGGGAGGAAGAGCTGCTTGGTGGTGCGCAGGTCGGAGGGGCGCGTCGTGGTGAACCGCAGCGGGTCCGTCCCCGCCGTTGTGTCGAGCGTCACCCTTGTCACGCAAAGACCGCCGCCACCCTCCCCGTCTTCCTCCGCTGCCGCCGCTGGCGCCGCTCCCACAGCGCCGTCACCGCCGTCGTCGTCATCATCATCGGCAAGGCGCGGTGGAGATGCCGTGCTGCTGCGCTGCTGCGGCGGCGCCGCATCGCCCCCCACTGGCTGTCGCTGCTGCCGCAAAGGCAGTGGAGGGTTTGTGCCGTGCGGCGGGAGCAGCCCCGCGGCGGCGTTCAGCCCGCTGTCGCGATAAATCGAAAAGGTCGACCTCCGCGCGTCACGAACGGCGGTGCAGGAGGAGCCGGTGCCCCGCGGCGACAGCGCCGTCGCGCTGGAGAACCGGCAGGAGGAGGCAGACACGTCGGTGAGGTCGTTGACGCCTTCCCCGGCAGCGTCGCCAAGGCAGCCGTGGACAAACGGAGTCGGGCGGTACGCGCCGCCTCTGCCGTGCTGCGGCCGCGGCCCTGCGGGTTCCTCCGCGGGGTCGTCGTCGCCCAGCGGGATCTCGGCGCTGAGCCGCACCCCCGACTGTCGCGTCCCGTCGCCACCCTGCCGCACACGGCGCACCTCCTGCCGCACCTCCGCCTCCAGGATCTGGTAGAGCACGGAGAGCTCGCGCCCAAAGCGGTCCTGCAGCGGGTACTTTGTGCAGAACTCCACGTTGGGGTCCCGCGAGCTCAAGAGACGCGCCCCGTCGCCCTGCCGCGAAGGCGCGGCGCCGGCGTCCCGCTCGCCCACGTACTCCTGCAGCGTCATCCGTCGGATGTGCGTCCGGTCAAAGCCGTAGACGGCCCCATATGGCGAGTGCATCCCGCGCGCAGCGACGCCTCCGCCTCACCTCCTCTGCGGCAGCCGTCACCGGTCACACGCAGACGCACGCCTCTCCCTCTCACGCCCCGCAAAATAAAGGTGGAGGAAAGGCAAAAACAAAAGCAAAAAAAAACAAAAGGAAAAAAAGTGACAAGTTGGGGAGGTGAGGGGAGGGAAGGAAAGGGGTGGGTGCATTGCGGCCCAGGCAGGAGCAGAGAGCCCGGTCGCAGGGCGGCGGCGGCGGCGGCGGCGGAGACCATGCGGCGATCACAACGCAAATCACACAACGCAGCAAGGAAAGGAAGGAGAAAACACACACACATCCGCCTCATCCCTTGGGCGGGGCGCTGTGCTTCAGCACCGTCGCGCGCACCAGCTCGCGGCACTCCGGGTACGACAGCCACTCTTCGTGGATGCTCCGCAGGGCACGCGCGATGTCCCGCGTGGTGGACAGGCCCAGGCGCAACGTCTCATCGCCAGTGAACGTTACTTCCGCGTGGGTGCCACCCGAAACTGAGATCCACAGCACCGCCCTTGCGTCCCACAGCGTGACGGCCGCGCCCGCCTCCTCGTCGGAGGCCAGTAGAAGGCTGCTCTCCTTGCCCTCCGCGCCGGGTCCGAGGGACGCCGCCACCATCGCGCGTCGCACGGAAAAGAGGTGCGCCACCATCGGGCACAGCAGGCACATGACGTGCGCCGGAGACACCACAACGTGGGCAAAGTCCGTGATGGGCGCGACGGCGCTCGCGCGCTGGGTGGTGAAGGACGTGGAACGCAGAGCGAGGGGCAACTTCCCGAGACCGTCCTGCGCGGCGGGGGCGAAGAGCAGCGCGAAGACCTTCAGCAGCCGCAGCATGCGTGGGACACGTGTGGGGACGTAGCTGCCGGGGGCGCTGTGGACCAGCATGGCGCTGCGGAGGACCACCAGCAGGTGCCGCAGGTACCGCGACACCTCGCCCGCGAGGGTCACGGTCTCGACGAGGTCGTCGCCGTCGGGCGAGAGCATCACCTCCAGCATGTGGCGCTTGTTCACCACGTTCGAGCTCTGCGTGTCGGCGGACTGAATCACGGCGGCGCTCTCCATGGCAAGCGCCGACATGTACGTCGACAGCGCGAAGGCGTCAAGGACGCACTCAGGCAGCGCCGCGGCGTACGCCCGCGCGTCGCAAAAGGCGACGATGCGCAGCGACGGCACCCGCTTCACGGTATTTCCCACCCGCAGAAGGCCAAAGACTAAAACGTCCATCAACGCCGACAGCACCTGCGGGGAGGCGGCGGATAACTCCTGCAGGCACACCACCGTCACCTGCCGGTGGTCCTCCGCGAAGCCGGGAGGCACCGACGCCATGGTCGCCGACTCCGCCCGCATGAGAAACCCACAGAAGGCCTCTCGTCTAGTCTGCTCGGTGATGCGGAGCTCCAAGTACGTGGGCCCTTTTGGCATGGAGGTGACGGTGCTGTTACTCCCGCCGTCGTGCATTACGAGGAGGTGCGCCGATGGGACACAGCAGCAAATGGAGACGAGCACGTACAGCTGTCGGCACTCGCACAGCACCGGGTGGTGGGTGGCAGGCCACTGCCGTGAGAGCGGATCTGGAAAGCATTGATTGACATTGAGCCGCATAACGCAATACTAATAGATATATACAGGTATATATATATTTATATATACTTATAGACGGGTGGGTGCGTGCGGTCTGGAGGGGGAAAGTATAACTAATCGTGCGATGCACCCTCGTCTGCCTCTAGTCTACTTCCCCAACAGCACCTTCCTTTTTTTGTTTTCTTATGCGCCTCCCCCGCCCCTTGCGGTTTGGTTGGTGCCCCGCTACGCCTTCAACCAGAGAGCGGGGAGCAGCATAAATGCATGTATGCAGGCGCGCGCGCACACACACACACAGTCCAGAGAGAAAGAGGGAAAAAGAAAAGGCAGAGGGGAGGAGGGGAGGCCCATAAACCCGGCACTAGCAACAACACGCTCGCACACACACAGACACACAGACAGAGAGACAGACCTACAGGCACGTGCTTCCAGGTGTGCGGCGCAAAGACGGGTAGAAAAAAAAAAAACAACAACAACAACAACAATGCTTCAAAGGCAGCTGCCACCTCTGCGCAGGAGCAGCGGCGGGAGGGTGGCGTTACTCTACAATTCATCCGCACGCTCAAACGGCGACTCTAGCGCGGCAACCTGCCGCCCCACCTCCTCGTCGTCGCGCTCGGCCCCTTCGGGTGAGCGGCGTCTATGACGGCGATGACGCACATGGCGACGCTGGTGGGGACCACGCGGCGACTCCGCTGTCTGCCCCGCCTCTACGCCCCCCTCCCCGCCCGCTGCCGCCCGCGGCGGCGCGAACTCCTCCTCCTCCTCCTCGTCCTCCTCGTCCCGCTCCTGCAGCCCACCGCCCTCGGCGTCGAGGCTGCGGCGGCGGCGGCGGCGGCGGCGCCTTTTGCGCGGCCGGTGCTTCTCCGCGTCCCCCGGCTGCGGGGGGCCTTTCGCCAACTCGCCGCCGTCGTTGGCGTCCGCGACGTCGTAGTCGCTGGTGCCGTACTCGCTCCAGAACTGCGCCCCGAAGTCGGGGTCGTCGAGGGCCTCGTCGAAGGCGTCACCGTCGCCGACGCGGACGGCGTCGTGGGCGGCCGGCGAGAGTCCGTCCACGACGAAGAACTGATCCGCGTCGTCCGGCGGCGGCGGCGGCGGCGGCGCGGGGGGGCGGCCTGACGCCGCCACAAGAAGCCGTTCTCCTCCAGGTCCGACGCACGCCCAAAGTGGGAGCGCAGCTGCTCAAACTGTTCCTCCTTCATCTCCGCGGAGAAGCGCTGCCGCATCTCCTCCACCTGCGTCTCGTACTCCGCCTCCGTCATGAGGGCGTAGCTGCAGACGATGCGCACGCCCTCGCCCCGCGAAAGCGCGGCATGGGCCTCGCCCAGAATTGTGTCCCGCGCCGTCGTGTGAAGGCGGAGGGCCGGCTTATTTGTTTTGCACCGCACCCCGCGCCCCTCCCACGGGACGGGGGCCTCCGAGAAGAGCACAATCTCGCGGCTGTGCGAGTTCCACGTGAGCACGGCGGCCCCTACGCAGTAGATGCACAGATTGATTAGCGCGGCGGCGAGGGCCCACTCGACGGGGGTTGAAAAGATGTTGTAGTCGTCGTACTCCGATGCAAGCAACAGCGCTGGGTTGCTGGACTCCAACTGCGCCGCGCAGGCCAAGACAGCCTCCTTGTAGAAGCCCCGCACCGGCTGCGTGACAAACACCAACACGATGAGCACGAAGCAGTAGAGGAAGGAAAAGACGCACAGGATGTGGTAGAAGGGCACATGCACGCCGCAAATGCGCAGGTGGCGGCCCCCTGCCGAGTAGTTAATCAGACTCACCGCGTTGTTGAGGATCGCCAGAAACAGCATCACAAGAATCGCGATGGCGTACTGCGCCATTACCATGAGGGGAACTGGCAGCGACCCACCGTCCACGCTCAGCGTGCTGAAGACCCTGCCCATTCTGATTTCCGCGCTGTAGTTGCAGTTCTCGGTCGCGGTCCACAGCCCCAGGCCCACGGTGACATTGCCATGCGTGAAGTACCCAGGGAGGCTGCTCTCCAGCCGCACGTAGAACTCCGTCATCAGTACAACGAAGCAGACGACGTCGACGGTGTTGCAAAGCTGGTAGAGTCCCTTGAGCACCCGCTCCTGCCTGCGTCGCGGGTAGACAGGGGAGGGAAGCACAAAAAACATTGTGTGCGGAACGCACAAACTAACACGGGCTTACTGCGCCCACTTCTACTTCTACTTTTGTTTTTTTTTTGCTTTCTGTTGGAGAGATCCCGCCTCGGCGGCGGCGGCGGCGGCTTTGCTGCAGACGACTGCGCCCTCCTCTCTCCCTTTCCCTCTCGCTAATCTCGCTGCGGCCTGCTGACGAGGAGGGAGCGAGAGAGAGAGAGAGAGAGAAGAAAAAAAGACGACATGCATCCACGGCGTCGGGAGGGCACGCATACTCACACACCCACACCCTCCAGCATGAGCCCGCAAAACGAAGAAGTTGTGGAGGGGCAGCAGAGAACAACAAGAACAACAACCAAATAAAGGAACAGAGGGAAGGGAAGGTAGCCGCCTCGGTGGCGGGTCGTAGAAGCAGCCGCGTGACGCGCAGCACTGGCGCCCCGCCACCCGCAACAACGACGACGCAGGCCGCTTATATTTTTAGGGCGCCCAAACGCATCCGTTGAGGAGGACAAGGCGGAACCGAGAAGAAAAGCACGTCACCTCCGGCGACGCTGTTTCGAGATCCTCCACGAGCTCCCATTTTCCCAGGCGCGCAGGATTGGGTTGAGCCGCTCTGCCCGCTGCTCCTTCGTCAACTGCCCCTTGCGCGGCCTGCTGTAGAAGGCCGGGGCAAGCTCGACCAGCCACTGAGGCTCAATCACCAGCAGCTCCCGCATGTACTCCCGATTCGTCAACTGCAACTCGTTGTACAGAACGTACTTCGGCGGTGCATCCCGCAGGCACGACGAGGGGTGGACGTACACCTCACGCCGCTCCGCCAGCGTGGCGTAGGCGACGTCTGTGATGCGCTTGGCCGCATTGAAAAAATGACCCGCGGTGATGGCCCGCCGCACCTCGGTGAGTGCGTCGTCGTTGTGGTGCGGAATCGACGCATGGCGCTTGTGTAGCATGTCGCTTAACTGCTCCCGTGTGTCACGGGCCTCCATCAGGATCCGGTGCTTTAAGAAGTTGCGCTGGCACCACTCCTCATTCAGGCCATTTGCCACCCACGCGTCGTACACGGCCAGCAACGTGATCTGATCCCCCTCCGGTTGGTGAAACTGCCGCTTTGCCGCGTCGGCCGCCTCATGCTGGTCGCGGGGCCGGTAAAAGACCCCGCGCTTCTGCACAGCAAGCATCGAGACTATCGTCAGCACGGGCTCGCTGCACCCCATGTCCACCGCCGTCAGCAGCGTTTTGCTCTGCGAGGGGTCGATGGGGAGTTGCGCCATGCGACCTCCCAGCGGCGTGAGCAATCCATCGTCGTCGAGGGCCTCGAGGTAGCGCAGCTTCTGCAGCGCCGACACGAGCGTCTCCTGCGGCGGTGGATCCATCAAGTCAAGTGCAAAGAGGTCGTTGATGCCCATGGCCTTCAGCTGCAGCACCACGTTAAACAAATTCGACCGCTGTATATCTGGCACTGTGGCGGGCTCCATGTCCATCTGGAACTGTGGCTCGGTGTACATGCGGAAGCACTTCCCGGGGCCAATGCGCCCCGCCCGCCCGGCCCGCTGCTGCGCCTGCGCCTGTGAAATGGGAACGATCTTCAGCTGCTCCATGCCTGTTTTGGGGTCAAAGACGTTCTGCTTGCAGAACCCGCTGTCCACCACAAAGTAGAGGTTGCTAATGGTGATGGACGTCTCCGCGACGTTGGTGGCCAGCACAACCTTGCGGCAGCGCGGGGGGGTGGGCTCAAAGACGCGGGACTGCACCTCCTGCGGCAGGGAGGCGGTGAGCGGCAGCACGAGCATGTCAGGCACCGGCCTCTCGCTGAGCTCGCACATCTTCTCCATCCAGCGAAAGAGCCGCTCGCCGCCCAGCTCAATCTCCTCCTGCCCCGTCAGGAACACCAGCACGTCCCCCGGCGGCTCCTCCAGGTGCAGCTTCATCACGGTGCGGAGGGCGCAGTCCAGGTAGTCCTCGGTCGGCTCGCGAAGGAAGTTTACCTCCACAGGAAAGGCGCGGCCCTCAATGAAGAAGACGTCCGCGACGTTGAAGTAGTTGCAGAACTTCTCCCGCTCCAGCGTGGCGGAGGTGACGATCACCTTCAGCGTCGGCCGCTTGTGCGTCGCGTTGCGGACGATGGCAAAGAGCAAATCCGTGTTCACCGACCGCTCGTGCGCCTCGTCGAGGATGATGACGCTGTAGCGCTGAAAGGTGTCGTCGAGCAGGGCCTCCCGCAGCAGCATGCCGTCCGTCATGTACTTAATCTTCGTCAGCGAGGAGGTAACGTCGCGGAAGCGGACGGTGTAGCCCACCTCCTCGCCCAGGCGGCAGCCGTACTCGTCCGCCACGCGAATGGCGAGCGTCTCCGCCGCCACACGGCGGGGCTGCGTGCAGCATATCATCCCATGCTTGCTGTAGCCGTGCTCCGCAAGGTACTGCGGGATCTGCGTCGTTTTGCCGCTGCCTGTTTCCCCCACCAGCACCGTCACGTTGTGGCTGTCCACGTGCTGAAGAATCCGGTCACGGTAGGCGAAGATGGGCAGCGACTCACGCTGCTCCGTGAGGCTCTGCGAGGTGAAGGCGGGGCCGAAGCGGGGCTTCTCGCCAAAGCTGTGCTTCATCCACGGCGGCAGTCGCGAGGGCAACTCCCGCGCGGAGCGGAACCCCCCCGCAAGGTCCTCCGGCCGCTCCAGCAGCTCATGGTTGAGGAGGTCGTTGCCGCCGCCGTTGCCGCCGCCGCCGCCGCCGTACCGCTCGTCCTCCTCCCATGCGCCGTCGTTCGGGCCCCTGTTGTGGCTCCCGGGGCCGTCGTCCATGCCGCCGACGCCACGCGTCTGCTCCGTCAGCCGCTGCAGGCGCCGCTCCTTCGCCCGGAGAATCTGCCGGTCCTTGTTGCGCAGCTGCTGCGACATCGCCGCACGCTTCATGCTGTTCGTCTCAATCTCATCGGCGTTCGCCTGCTGCATGGCTCGTCGCGCGATAATCGCCTCCCGCTGCACCGGCGTGCTCGCCCGCATCAGCTGCTCCGACGGAAGCAGGGCACGGTAGTTGATGGGCCGGTGCCGCACCAACCCGCGCAGGAAGCGCGGCTCCTCCTCGTTCAGCTCCACCTGCTCCACCTCCTCGTCGTCGGTGCGCAGCTGCAGCAGCTCCGACTCGTCCAACAGGCCGCTGCGCACCAGCTGCGCCAGCTGCATCTTCTCCTCCGCCCGCACCTGCATCGCCGCACGGCGCTCCGCAGGGTCGGTCGTGAGGCTCGCGAGCGCCCGCCGCCCCCTCTCGTCCTGCTGCGCCGCGGCATCCTCCTCCTGTTGCAGCAAGTCACGCCGCAGCGCCGCCTCCGCCGCGCCCCGCTCCTTCTCCGCGATCGCGAGCGCACCGGCCTCGAGGCACTTCGGCCAGTCGACGCCGCGCAGGTTCGTCTGCAGAATCCGCACCAGACCCCGCAGCTGCCCCAGCGGAACGGCGGGCTCGTCCTCCGCCGCCGCACCGTTGATGGCGGAGTTGAGCGCCGCGAGCAGCGCCTCCTCATCCCCGCCGCCGCTCTCGCGCAAAAAGAGTGCCACCAACTCCTCCACGTCGTCGTAGTACCCCTCCGCCTGCTCCACGCTCTCCGGGCGCCCGAGCAGGTGTTCCAGCTGGCGGTACAACTCATTCTTGCTGTAGATCAGCTGCAGGTGCCGCAGAAGGGACTGGTCCTCCTGCATTTCGGACCCGTCGCCCCGTCCCCCTCCCCCCCCTAACAACAACAACAACCACAACACTCCCTCGCTTCCCCCCGCTGAAGAGCCGCTAAGCCCGCCGCCGCCACACTAACGCCGAGAGGGGCAGAGCGCAGAAGAGAAGAGGCGAAGGAAACAAAAAAAAATGGCAAGCGACGCAAAAAAAAAAAACAAACAATAATAATAATAATAAACCGCGGTGGTTGCCCCGCGAGAGGGGCAAACGGTAGCCGCAGCCGCAGCACGCGGCGGGGCGGGGCGGGGCGGGTAGAGGCGGGTGAGGGATGGAGGCAACACCCGACGGTGTTCCGTCGGATGACAAACGAGGACAACAACAACAACAAAAAAAAAGGCTGGCGGGGCTGAGGGCACTCCGCTGCCTCCTGCAGAATCCACGAACGGGGCAGGGAGTAACGGGCAAAGCGGGAAAGTATTTACACTGACAGATACAAATACAAACAACAACAAAAAAAACAGCAATGCTTCACGCAGGGCACCGTAGAAGGCAGAGAAAAAGGCCAAACAAGAGAACGGAGAGAGGGAACAAAATAAAAGAAACAAGAAAAAAAAGAAAAAGACCAGCGGATGGTCTCTGGCATGTCCCATGCATAAAAAGGGAGGAAAAATAGGACGGGCGAGGAAAAAGGATCCCTCTCCTCGTATTTTTTCCCCTTTTTTTTATTGTGGCTGCGATCGCCTCCGCTGCTCCCCTCCCCTCCCCCCCCCCCACCCCACCACCACCACACCCACCGCAGGGCGAGAGGGCGACGGAACACGCACACATACAGGCACACAGATAGACACACAGAGAGGCAGATACATAAAGGCAGAGAAAGGGTCATCCACAACTTTTTCACCCCGTCAGAGGCAAACACACAAACTCACAAACACACACACACACACACGCACCGCCTAATAACCTGCACAGTGGCTGCTCAAGGACGCTCAACCGGGAAAGAGGCCCGAGGAAAGAGGGGGGAGACACTTTCTCTCCTTCTCGCTTTCTTTCGTTCGTTCTCTCGTTTCCTATCTCGCTCTCTTCTTCCTTCTCCCCGCTTCTTCTTCTGTGTGTATCTTTCTTTCCCACGCTGTCCGCGTGATAGGCGCGGGGTCGGCGAGGTGGGGCACCGCAAACAAACAAAAAAAAATTCAGGAGCTGTAAGCGGCCCACCGCCCTCCCCCCTGTTCCCTTCCCCACCGCCACCCAACAGCTGGGAGCGAAAGAGGGCCCATCCTCGTGGTGCGTGTCCCCATCCCACGCCCTAAACCAACAAACAATAAACGAAACAAATACTACGAACGAAAGTACAGAAATACACAAACATCTATACATATGGACATTTAATTATTTATGACCAGGATCAGAAATGCATGAAAAGATCCCGTACAAATCCTTGTGACTGTTTCCTTGTCGCTGTTGCTAACGCTTGCTACAACTATGCCCTTCCAAAACACACGGAAAAAGTGGAAGAGTCATATGCACAAATATATATGTACAAATACACACAGACATATATATATATATAATATAATATAATATATATACGAGTCCAGTAGTTTGCCCCTTTCTGGGCTATCCTTGCTCACACTTCCCTTCTGTGACGCCAACCAGAGGGTGCCCCTCACTCGAGGCTGGCCTTCGGTGAGGCTGGGGAGGGGAGGCTTCGATCTGCCTTTACATTCCCGTTGGCTGGTTTTGGTTGCCGCCTCCGTTCACGGAGGATCACAGCTCCGCATCGGTGCCGTCGCCGAGGAACCTGGCCACCATCTCGCGGTTGCGGCGCTGCGCGGTGCCGTTCCCATGGTGCAGCGCCGGAACTGCTGCACCGTTTAAGGGTTCCTCATCGTCGGGGTCGGGGCCCTTCATCAGCGCCAGCCGCTTCGGCACCGTGCGCTCCTTGACCCTTTCCAGCTTCACAAAGCCGTAGGCGCTGCGGCCCTCGTTGTGCAGGTCGCCAATTTCAATGAGCTTCGCGAGGTTGACGGTGAAGACTAGGCCGAAGACGGCGTGCTCGCCCTCCAGCAGCTCCACCATCTCCGTCTCGGGGTTGAACGACTTCACCAGCGCGGCGCTGCGACCCCACTGCTCCACGTCGTGCGCCTTTGTGGTGTCGTAGTTGAGCAGCAGCACCGAGTTGTTGTCCTCGCGCCGGGTGGCGTCCATCAAAATGGTGTCAAGGTCGTCCAGCTCCACGTCTTCGAGCAACTCCACCTGAATCGTGTCGGCATCACCCGCGCCGTCGCCACCAGCGCCACCGCCGCTGGTGCGCTTCAGTGTGCCCTTCGTACTGCTCTTTGTCGGATTGCGGGATTCGATAAACATGCGGCAAACCTGCGCGAGGAAGCGGGCGTCAATCTGCTTGTTAATGACCGTGAGCGAGACGTCCACGTCGCGCCACGCAAAGGCCTGACTACCGCGCCGGCGCTGGTCAGCCATCGTCTTGAGGTAAGCCTCGTAAAAGATCTCCTCCGGTGAGTAGAAGAAGCCGAGCTGGGCGAAGGCCATGGAAAGAGCCTGGAAGTGCGGGGACGGACTCACATGGAAGATGTTTTGCACCGGCAGGATGTGCAGCGGGAAGTCGCGGGTGTACTTCAATGGGAAGCGAGACTCGCATGGGCCGTCGCGGCGGGTCAGCGTGATGCAGCCGGAGCGGCGGTGCTTCGCGTCCTCGTCGAGCAGCACCTCGTGGAGGGTGCGCAGGGGGACGGGCCAGCTGCGGAAGTAGCTGTGCGGGTTGCTGCCCATCACCATCACACTCTCCGTCGCCGCGGTGTAGCCGACGATGATGCCGGTGGAGCCGAACGGGTGGGAGGCGCCGAAGATGTCAATCTTCTCCTTGTTGAACAGGACGAAGAGCACCCGGTTGGGGTTCTGCACGCTCTCCACGACGAGCTCCTTGAAGTCCTCCCACGGCAGCCGCGGCGCGCCGCTGCAGCACCGGTCGGTGTGGTACGTCTGCACATCCATCGAAAGCCCAGCGGCGGCGATGTACGTCGTAAGGCACACCGCCAGCGACTCCACCGTGAAGTACCGCAGCATCAGGGAGGAGATCTCAAACGGCAGCGCCATGACAACGTCCTCAAAGGTGGTGAAGATGCCCAGCTTGGTCATCGCGAGCGCCACCATCGTCGAGCTCAGCGGCAAGGACGGGAAGTGGAAGGTCTTGATGATCTCCGCGTGCTCGCCGCCGAGCGTCTCCTGCTCGTGCAAGAGCTCCAGGCGATTTTGCACCGTTGACGCAATGCGCCGCGGGGCCCCGACGAGGCCGGGGTCGGGCACAAACCCCAACACCTGCGAGCCGCCGCAGGTGCTGCTGTCACTTGACTTGTTGCGCGACGCCGCCTCACGGGACTTGGAGAAGATGATGTAGCCGTTGGACGTCATTGCCTTGTGCAGGCGGTCCAGGGAGCAGCTCCAGGTCTGCATGAACTTCTTGGGGTGGGCGTCGATGAGGAGCACCATCTGCGTCTCCACGTCGTAGCCGGCTAGCAGGCACCACTGCGGGAAGTTCGAGATGTTCAGCACATTGTGCGCCACATTCGCGTTGTACATGATGGCCATGATGTGCTCCGGCACCTCCGGGTCCTCGTTGGCGTTCTTCACGTCGATGATGATGGACTCCAGCTCGAAGACGGAGATGGTCGGCACCGCGTCCTCGCGGGAGATTTTTGTCAGCACCGGGTAGACGGCAACGTTGTAGTTGCGGTTGGTGATGCGCACGTACTCGCGTGCGTAGCGGAAGACCTCGCCCAGCGGCAGCGAGCCGTCAATCAAGACGTCGGCGGGGAAGCGCATCTTGCGGACGATGTCCGAGACGGGCAGGCCGTTGCCGTACCCGTGCGAATTCGGGCGCACCCCGCCGAGCAGATGCATCGCCCACGACACGGCGACAATGTGAGGGCTGATGTGCGTCGACACCACGGAGGCGTGAATGCCCTGCAGCGTTGAGCCAATCACCTTGCCGCTGCTCAGCTCCGGGGTAAACATGATCTGCGCCTCATCCTGCGTCATCGCGGGCACATTGTCCTTGCGGAAGATGCGAATGAAGCCGCGGGCACGTCCGCCTTCCCTGACGGCCGTCATCGCCTTGTAGAGTGCGGCGGCCGGAACCTCCATCAGCTTCACGTGGAGCGACTCCCCAACGACGCCCGCGGCAAGTGTCACCATGAGCTGCACCACGTTACGCACGTCCACGACCACGGCGTAGGCGCCGCTGTTGTTTGGCCGGTAGCAATGCGCGGCAGGGCGGGCATTGACAAGCGCCGACGCCGCCAGCACAGTGTGACCCTCATCCTCGTCGTCAAAGGCGTCCACGAGGGTCTCCTGCTCCAATACATAGGGGTCGTAGTTAACAATACGAATCAGCTGCGTCTCCTCCTCGCAGTCGTGTGTGATGGCCTTACTGAACTCCGGCAGCTGCATCCGCCGCTGCCGGTCGCCGACGTCGTTGTTGCCGAGTTCCACCTGACCGAGCGTCGGCGAGATGTCAAAGTGCATCACGGAGAGGCTATACTCGTTTTTGAAGCGGTTATCCACACCAATGAAGTCGCGTATGATGTCTGACATCACCGGCAACCCCTGAACGCCACCGTGCAGGTAGTGCAGCGGGACATGTGCCGCAAAGAAAATATCCTCCACTGTGACGCGCTTCTTGCGGTCCTTGCATCCCTTTTCGCCCCCAAGCAGGTAGGAGAGCGCCACCGCCGCCGCCCCAAAGTGGCTGCACTCCATCAGGCTGGCGTCATCCTCCGGCCGCTCCAGCTCGTAGCTCTTAAAGAAATTCATCCGCGCCTTGCGGATCTCCAGCACCTGCTGCCGGGTGTGCTTCGGTTGCAGCCCCGTGGAGGAGGCCAACTTTGAGACATCAGCGTTGCTGCTGTTGTTGTTCGCCGCCGCCGCCGCGTACGAGACGCCCACCGACGTCGAGCGGGGATTCGCCCCTGTGGAAGTTTGATTCTGCCGCTGACTCGCCGCGGCTGCGGCTGCGGTTGCGCTGGTGGCGCCCGTCGTCGTCGAGGTCGCTGTTGGCAGTGAGGTCGGCGACAGCGGCGGCGGCGGCGGCGGCGGCGGCGGCGGTTGCTGTTGGCCTCCCGCCGCCGCGGCGGAGGTGGAGGCGCCAAACGAGACCTGCGACAGCCGGTGCGTCCCGCGCAGCGACGGCTCGAGCGCGTCCTCGCCGGCACCCGGGTGCTGATCGGTTGAGCCGCCGGTGTTGGTGTAGATGCGGTCCTGCTCCAGCGTGCGCCGGTTCGCGCGCGCCACCTCCTCGAGCTCCGACAGGGCGGACTCCCACTTGTTGAGGTGCGCCTCCACGGCGAGGCCGGAGTTTGACTGCCCACTCCCCATTTCCGTGCCGCGCCGCCTCTCTCTCTCTTGCTCGCTCGCTTCCTGCTCCTTTTGTCGCTCTATAACACGCACGCTTGCTTCCGCTCCTGCTCGCCTTGCGCCTATCCAGTGCACGCGGGGGCGGCGTGTGCCGTGAATACTAACCTATGTACACGCGTAGCGTATGTACGCACACCTTCGCGCGCGTGCAAGCCCCGGCGGCAGGGAACGGAAGGGGAGGGAGCAAAAGAAGACACAGCGGACGGCAGCGTGTTTTCCCACGGCACCACGACGAGGCGGCAAGCGGCACAGCGCGTTGGGGGGGAGGGGGGGGAGGGAAGTTACGCACAGAAGAGTACGAAGGCAAAGTGAATAACGCCGACGACACTGAAAAAAAAAGCAAAAAGAAAAAAAACGATCAAGGTGAGAGAGGGAGGAGGCGATAGAGCTGTGTCCACTAATTTCCTAGCCAGGCGCTCAGGTAGTTCGCCACGAGCAGCCGCTGCGCCGTGAGTGACGGTGGCTCGCTCTCGTCGAAGCTGCCGAGGTCGCCGCAGTGCCCACAGCCGTTGCACTGCGCCGTCACTTCGGGGTACTCCGCGCTCAGCGTGTGCGTCACCCCGGCCGGCAGCCACGGGTCGTCGGAGCCCTGCGTCGCCACCACGCGCGTGGCCGTGGGGTGGGCGCCGCCGTGAACGGCGTTGAAGGCGTAGGTGTCGGGAAACACCTCCTCGCCAAACGCCGCGCGGCACTGGTCAATGAAGTAGGAGGTGGTGATTTCCCTCAACCGCAGGCTGCCAGGGTAGCCTACCTGCCAGTACGCCAGCTGCGAGCAGCACTGGTAGGCCCAGGCGTAGCTGGAGTTCCACTGGTCACTGTAGGCCGCGTTTGACAGGCACTCGCTGCTGTAGTAGCACGCCCGCGTGAAGTCATCACCCCATAGCAATCGAATAAGGTCCGCGTACCGCTTGAAGAGCTCGCGCCCTTGGACGGGCTCCATCCATGCGCAGAGCATGTCCTTGAATCCGTACTGCACAGCCATCGCGGAGCCGTCCGCGAGCATCCACGCCATGTCGGCCTTGGTAAAGTAGCCGGGGGTGCCAAACGTCTGCATCATGGGACCACGGCGCTGGGGGTCGTCGTACGCCTCAGAGAAAGCGTCAAAGACGGCGCGAACGGTGGCGGCGCAGGCGCTGGGAAGGACATCCAACAGGTGCCCATCAAACGCGCTGTAGTCAAAGATGGCATTCACCACACCACTGCTGCTCCACGCGGCGTGAAAGTCCTCCGGGTACGTTGCCCGCGCCCAGGCGCTCAACGCCCCCGCGTAGCTGCCACCCACAACCAGCCACTTGAGTTTCTTCCCCACCACCGCCTCCTCGGCGTACCGCTTGAATGCCCGCAGGTCCGCGAGGGCGTTCTCCACCGTCAGGTGCTTCAGCATCGACCGATTCGTGAGGGGCGCGGGCAGGCTCTCGCCGTAGTAGCGGTGCTCGAGGGAGAAGATGATGGCCCCAACGAAGAAGCCGAACCGCCGCACGAACCCCCCCGGGGACGGGGAGGCGGGGCCCTCGCCGTTCACGTACAGCACGGCGGGGCCGGCGTCGCGGTCCCAAAAGGAGCGCTCCACCCACCACCGCTGCCTGAAGGTGCCGGCGGCGGCATCCGCGTGGTCGACGCGCTGCTCGTAGTAATTCGTGGGAGGCTCGCGCGGGTCACGGGGTTGCGGCTGCGCCCCCTCCGCAGCAGCAGGCCGCTGCCCGTTGCGCCGCAGCGCCTCACGGTAAACTTCACCCCCGCGCGCCCTTGAGGGAATGACGGAGGGATGCACCGCCGCCACTGCGCCACTGGGCGTGTCAGCCACCAGCCCCAGCAGAAGCAACAGGGCGAGAGTGCCGAAACGATACGTCATTGTTGCGCTGCAACGCTTGCTTGCCGAGGTGGGAATAAATGACGATTCCCTTGGCTGTGTTTGTGTGTTAGCGTGGGTGGCGCACCACCCGCCACAGCCTCCGCACGGAGGCAAAGAGGCAGCGAAGGAGGGAGGAAGAAATGGTAAAAGGCCTGGGAGGTGGAAGCCGCCAACGCGACCGCCACCCCCTCAGCCACGTGGCACCGCTACGAGGGGGTGGGGGCAACGCGCCAGGCAGGCAATGCAACCAGGCACACAGAAAGAGACGCATACCTGCAGCGGAGGAGAAAAGGAGAGTGAAAGAGAGTGCGCGGGGAGCAACACCGTGTCACCAACGCACCACGAGTCTTGTGTTTACCCTTCTCCACTCACGCACTCCCACACCTCGTTTTTTTTTCTTTCCTTTTTTGTTTTTGTTTTTGTGTCATCGCCGCTTGGATTTTGCGTCGTCCGGGTCCACCAGGCCCAAAAAGATGTTGCTGAGGAGCGACGCCACCCCGCTCTGTTCCTCCTGCGCCGCGCTGCAGTGCCGCACGCCGAGCTCCCGCTCCAGCGCCCGCTCCTCCTTTTGCAGCTGCTCCGTCAGCCCCCGAATTTCCGCCATCTCGTCGTTGATCTTCTCGAACGCCGCGATCTCCCGCTGCAGCTCCGCCTCGTGGCTCCTGCGGAGGTCCTCCAGCCGCCGGCGCAGCTCCTCCACCGTCGACATCCCGCCGACGCCCGTCCACCCCCCTGCTTTTCAGTGCCCGCCGGCAGACACTCGGCCCGACGGAAAGGGAAAAAATCAAGGCAAAAAAAAATGGAAGAAAAAAAAACACGCAGACTGGAGGGAGGCAGGGAGAGCCGAGAGACAAACCCAAAACGAAGCACAAGTAGAAACAAAAGTCGCTCCACCCCTCATCCAATCCACCCTTTGTGTCTTTCTTTCTTTTTCCCCCCCCTCCTTTGTATACTTCTCGTGGCGTCGCTCCGCTACTTCCCCCGTGGGCCACCGCCTCCCGCACAAGAGCCGTTGGCTTCTCGCGGCAGTTACTTGCGCCATAACATACAGAAGCGCGTTGTTTGACGCCCAGAAATGTGCCGCTTGCCCGCGCAAGAGGAGTAGCCGTGGTCGCGGTGGGTAGAGGAGGGGGGGGGAGGCGAAGGCCCAACGGGAACAGAGTGAGGGGATCAAGCAGAATAATAAGGGGCGGCGCCGGCCAAGGGAGAGGGAAGAGGACAGAGAGAGAGAGAGAGAGAGAGGTCTCACGCCGCTTTGGTGGTGCAGCACGCAACTGAGAAACTGCCCGGAGTGCACCGCGTAGCAGACGTTTTTGTTGTTGTTGTTCGTGTGTGTTTCTGTGGCTGCCCCGTTTGCGAGGGACGGGGAGGAGCGGCGTGCGGAGGCCGGCGCCGGTGTCTCTCGGGTCAGTGCACTAGGCAGCCGCGGGCACAATGTCTTCCGCAGAAGGCTCCACGGCGCCGGAAAGTTGACCCTCGCAGCCCGCTGCCCGCCGCCGCCATCGCCCGACGGCACGGGGAGGAGGAGGAGGAGGGTGTGTGTGTGTGTGTGTGTGTGTGTGTGTGTGTGGCTGCAAACAAAAAAGAAAAAAAAATTGGAGGTGGGGCCCACACCTGCTCGGCGAGAGTAAATGACACGGAAGTAGCGGGCGAGCAAGTGAGTCAAGGCAGACACGCACGCACGACGTGTCGCCGGCAGGTCTTCCCACGACAAAAGAAGAGAGTAACCGGCCGCCCCTTCCCGCTCCCCAGCAGAAAAATGGGGAAGAGGAAAAGCAAGGCAAACTCCAATGCACGCGCCCACCCGCCTCCGTGGCCGCTCAAGACGAGCACAGAGGCACACACACACGCACCCGCAGGTGGTGGGACACGGATGCCGCAAGCAGCAAACAAAAGCCCGAAGAAGGGCAGGGCAAACATCAACTCCTCCTGTGGATTGCATTTTTACGTGGACATGTCACCATCCCCCCCCCTCCACTCCCCCGTCCCCTTCATCATGCCTGCCGTCCTTGCTTTGGCTACCCCGCCTCGTACACCTTCCAACAGTCTTCGCAGTAGCTGCCTGCGTCCGTGGCGCGGTTGTTGGTGGGCCACAGAATAAGATTCTGCTTCCCGCACTCGCTGCAGGTTCCCCTGAAGGAATTCCTCCCACGCACCACGGCAGTCGTCGGTGGTTGCACCCCCACCAGCTGTTTCTTCCGCACCACCGTCTCCCCCGCCGCCTCCTGCAGCTGGCAGACACTCCGCAGCACATCCTGCAGCTCCGGGTGCTGCACGAACGCTTCGAAGAAGGCGTCATCCCGCAGCGCCGTCGGAAGCAAGTTCCTCAGCGCCAAGTGCATCTCCGCACCCCCCATGGCCGAACCGCGCCAAGCGGGCGCCAAGGCGTCCGCGTGCAGCCGCAGTAAATCGCACTCCGCCGCGGTGCGGAAGGCACGGCCGCATGCAGTGAAGTACGCCTCTCGGACCGCCGCGGGGACATTTTCCACGGCGATCCCCAATACACCTGCCGCCTTCATCTTCTCGTCCGTGTCATGCAGAAGTGAGCGAGGCGGAGGCAATCTCTCCGTGACGTCGGTGCCCCCGGCGGCCTCCTCACACGCCTTACCTGCACCGTCGTCGTCATCGGCAAAAGCAGCAGCGGCCTCCGCAGCATCTCCGGCGTCCGCATTACTGGGGCCAACGTGGCGCTCCTCTATATTGGGGCGGTTGGTGTCTCCGCCGCCCCTGCGGACCCTGCCGCAGCTGAGCTCCACCAGCGTCTCGCAGAGAGAGTCGAGGGAGTTCTGCACCTCGTAGTAGGCCAGTGACTCCCCATCGAGGCGCGAGAGAATATACTCCCGCGCCTCCGCGAGCGACATCGACGTCAGCCCCTCCTCGTACACGAGGCGGTGCAGAAGCGCCCGCAGTGCGACGCTTGCCGTTGCCCGGGCATCCAACAGGAGCCGCCCTGGCCGGCCGCCCACCACGCAGCCGAGGGCGACAACAAACTGTGAGAGCACAAAGGCAAACTTGTCGGGCGAGAGGTGGCGCCCGAGGTTCAGGTCGTCCTCGTACGGGTCCTCGATGCACATGCGGTACCAGACGCGTTCCCGGAGCCTATTCGACAACACCTCGGCGGCCTGCAGCCAGCCAAGACTCTCGCGTGTCACGTCGCCGTGCGACACGCGCAGCGAGACGACGCGCTCGTCCCACGGAAACGCGAGATAGAAGGCGAAGAACCCCGCCACGCAAGAACCGAGTTCCTCCCGCAACTCCGCCAACGCCGAAGACTCCGAAACGCTCTCCATGGACGCACCGCCAGTCCACTCATCTCCCAGGAGCGGGATGTATGGCACCTCCTGCTGGGTAGTCGACGGCACGGGGTGGATAAGTGCGGGGTCCACGTATTGGAGGACACCGCGCCGCAGCAGGTAATACACCCAGAGGATCGTGACAGCGTACGACGTCAGATACCCCCTCAAGCCGTTGTTAATCCCACTTCGTTTGCTCCACCGCTTGAGAAACGCCAGACCTGCCCGAGCCACAGGCCGCTGTGAGAGATACTGCCGCATAAACCAGCTGTTCCGCACCCCCAGTGGCCTGCAGCTGACGTCAAAATCGATGGAAAAGATGTCCGGTAACTGATGGCCTGACTTCCAAGTTTTTACGATGCCTCCCAGCCCTTTTGGCGTGGTCCGGTAATACCGCAGTGCCTTCTGGGCCGTGTTAAAGTGCAGCGTCAGCTTGTCCGGGCCATCCACCATCACCCCAATCTTCCTTTTCATTGCCACGGTCGTAAACTCGTTGTACGCCCCACGGTCCGGCTCCTCCAAGAAGCAGTACTCAATTTTGTAGCCCTGCATGAGGTCCGGGAGAAGCAGGGGGGGTCGCACGTTTTGGGCCCGTTTCACGACAGGCACGCGTGTCTTGATGACAACCTCCAACTCACTGTGGAGAAAGCCAGAATTGCGGAGCGCAGAGGCCAGGCGCAAAATGCTTCGACGCTCGTCATTATGGTCCCACCCGCCCGCCATGAACCGTTCCAGGAGGCGGGGCTCCAGCACCGTGAAATCGGCGTCGCTGACGCCGTCCCAAGAGCCGGAGGCGACACAGCTCCCAAAGAGAAACGCCGTTGCGTCCCAGCAAACACTCTGGGCAACACCATTCAGCTGCTCCAAGGCACGCTGGATCAACCCAAACGCCGCTGGGCCCTTGTCCAGCTCAGCAACACTCTCGAGCACGAAGAGGCCAAGAGCGCTCTGGTGCTCCGGGAGCAGAGGTGCCGTGAGCAGCGCCGGCGCCTCCACCGCAAGAACATGGCTGCACCAGTGCTTCAACGCCGCGTGGTTACTTTGGTGGTGCAGCTGCTCTTCCTCGTAAATTTTCTCGTTGCAGAGATCGCACCGGACGAAGGCCTGGCCCTCCACGTTACTCCCCTCCAGTGCCTGCTTGGCGTGGGCCGCTTCGTCCTCCCCGACCGGTAGGGGCGCCTCTGCGGTGCCGCTCAATTCCGCCGCCTCGTCAGTTTTCACGACCTCGGCCATGTGCCCCTGCTCCACCACCTCCGGTGCCTCTGCGGCCGCTGCGGGAGGAGCCTCTGCCGTGACGAACGTCCTCTCCCGCTTCTCCTCCCCCTTCTCCTCCTCCCGCTTCTCCTCCCCCTTCTTCTCCCGCTTCACCTTCTTGCTCTTGTTCCTCCTACGGCGCTGCTTCGCATGCGCGTTCGTGTCCTCCAACATATCCTTCCGTCGCTTCCGCCTCACACACCTGCCAGGCAGACCCAACAGGAAAAGGGAATTGGAAAAAAAAAAGGAGGGAGAAACGTTTTGATGGAAAAAAGCCGCTGCAGTGAGAAGGGGCCGATGCACCATTCAAAGCGCGAGCGACACAGCAGGACAGCCCCGTGGGCAGTAAAGCGCAGGGCACACAAGGCGAGGCCGCCCTCACAGGGTGGAAGAAAGATGGAAAACGAAAAGAAAAAAGACGGCACGGCAAGAACGCAGAAGCCACAGGAAGAAAGTAATGAGTGGGGGGAGGGACAACGTCCTCCACACTCCGGCTTGCTGGTGCGCGCCATTCACGTCGCCCCAACAGGTGCAAAGTTCCAGTTGGGAAAGACACATCCAGAGAAGCGCACGCACCCGCACACCCGGTCTACACACAGCGCTGCAGATGCGCTGCATCCTCGTTGCGAAATTCTGTCAGGCACGGGGGGGCTTTGCAGAGAGGGGTCACAAAGGCGGCATTGTTGCCCTCACCTATGTTTCTGTTGTTCATATCCATCCCTTCCAAGCCGACGCAGGGGTGGAGTGCCTTGCCGCGCAGCCCCAGCGAGGTCTCAAAGACAACGCCTTGATACACATCCTTGAAAAACAGCTGCACCCGCCCCTCATCGGTGTCAACAAGAAAGCCAAAGTTGCCGCCTGATACGGGGACAGAGAGGCGCCACAGCCGCTTACGCTCCTCGCCGTTCACCTCCACCGTGGAGGTCTGACAATTAAACATCCAGCACTCGTCGCACGACGGCGCCTCGCCGTACGTGGAGGTGTCCCACTTCTTACCCAGCTCAACCTCAAGCTCCTCCACTGTGCGAAATGCCCCCTTGGTGCACAAGCCGAGCTTGCACGCATCCGTATTTGTCGTGATTTCGTAGAATACTTTCCCGTTGCCTGGGATCAGCGTGAGGTCACCAACCACCGGCCTGTAGGGGCTTTCACCCCCGCCTTTATGTACCACCTTCGGCCCGTGTATGGTGTACGCATCGCCGGCCCGCGCCCACTCAAAGGTCACTGTGGGAATGCTCTGTTGCGCCGCGTCCTCCATGCTGGCCCGCAGTCTCAAAGACCAACAGCAAACTAGGATAAAAAAGGGACTATATATATATTTATATGTATATATATATAAATATATATTATCCCCCTTTGTTTACATGTATATAGGCCCCCGCTGCACGCCTGTTTCCTTCGCTCCCACGCACAGATGAGGAGGCTCGGGAAGAAGTTTAGGCGGCCGGCACTTCGCCAAAGCACCTGACGAAAGCACACTATAAGAAGAGGGAAGGAAGTAGCAGCCGCAGCCGCAGCCGCCGTGGCATTTGTGTCAGGCAGTAAGAAAAAAAAAAGCAACACACAAATGCGCACGAGATGGGCGTGCAAAAGCAACAAGTGGGGTCGTCCCCGGAGGCCCAGAATGGGCGAGGCACGCATACACGCCCCCATGTTTGGCTCGCCGTGCTTCATTGCTGTTGCTTTTGCCGTTCCGCGAGCGTGTGTGTGTGTGCGTGTGCGTGTGTGTGAAGCCCTGAAGAGGAGAGACGCGGCAGCCCCCGCACACGGCACGCTACCGCCAGCAGCCGCACGGCCTCGCCAGGTGGCAATCACTTCGGGCGGCCGCAGAGTCGCCCCATCACCGCCGTCACGGCGCGGCCCCTAATCCTCGCCTTGCGCCTCGTCCCACGTCGGGGGCGAGGTGCCCATCAAAGAAGAAAGTAGGGAAAAAGGAGGAGCTCCCGTGGGGCTGCAGCGCAACCAGCCGGGGGCTGACGGCCCCCCGCGCCTCGCAGGGTTTGACCACAAAGACAAGAGGAGGGGGAAAAAAGAGGACGCGGGACCAGACACGCTAATTTGGTTGCGCGGAAAAAGAAACAAAGAAATGGACTTGAGAAACAATCCATGGCACTGGCGGAGACGGCACGGCGGCAACCCCCCACAGCCCCCACCCTCCTCCTCCCCCTCCTGAGAACCGGGCGCGGCTCTACTTCTTCTTCGTCTGCATCTTGCCCTTCGCCTTGCCGCGGATCTTCTTGTTGCGGTTGCGGCGCTCCTTGATGGACTTGCGGGCCGGCAGCTTCTTCTTGCCCATGCCCAGGCGGGCCTTGCGGTAGTTGGGCTCAATGCGCTTCAGAGCGGCGAGGTCGTCGTAGATGAGGCCAAAGCCGGTCGTCTTGCCGCCGCCGAACTTCGTCTTGAAGCCAAAGACGGAGATCTGGTTCTCGTCGGCCACCTTGTAGAGGGACGCGAGGCGGCTGCGGATGAGCTTGCTGGGGACGGTGCCGCACCAGCCGGGGTGGCTCACCTCCACGATGAACTGCTTGCGGTTGAGCAGCTTGTTCACCTTGAACTGCGAGGTGCGGACCGTCACCTCCGCCTTCTTCTTCTGGAAGACCATGCTGTTTTCCTGCACACGCCCGCCAGCCCCCATTCCACACCGCGTCGACGAGGCGACGGTGCCGGCGCGTGAGAGA